TATATATATATATATATATATATATATATATATATATATATATATAACAACAACAAAGTCGTAAGCTCCAACCATTTGGTGTTGACTATGTGAATATTTTATCGTCATTGAGATTTGTAAAAAATCATATATTTAGTTAAATTCAGAGTACTTAAATCTTTATTTATAATTTTTATTATGGTCTTTTTAGTATTCCTTTACTTCTCATCATATCACTAACATTAATTATTTCACCTCTTCTTACTACTGCAGTCATAAACTTTTTTCAATATTTTTTTTTGTTTTGTATATACATATCATTATGAGTCATAAATATATATTTACATCAAAGAAATTATTAGAGAAAATTTGTTTCTTATTTAGATATTTTAGAACTATGAAATTCTATTTAAATATAGGCTTAGCATTATTTAAACATGACTTTTAATGGCTAAATGACTCTTCTGACACTATTTATAATCATATAGTGCAATAAGTATACAACTTTAAACCCAACTTCAAATAGCTATTAAAAGTATAGTTAACCATGAAAAACAATAATAAAGAATTTATACTTGGAACTAAACACTGGTCAAACTAGGTGCAAGTTAAACAAACCATGAAGATCAAGACTCTGCTGCAAAGTCATATCCTTTATGATTCTCTATTTCTTGGCATGTTGAGGAATGACTATATAACATATATATTTTACCTTTCAAGTTTGAAATTAAACTAATTTTTGGAGATACTTGTTCCGTTTGACATTCTTAATTGTTTTATAACTAGAACAATTTTGGATATCATTTTTATTCTTATAAATTGATACAAAATGATAGAATGAAACAAAAAAGAAAAAGATTATTCTTTGTTATATGGTGCTCCTTATTTATACATATTTAGAAGGGAGGATTTTCCTCAACAGAGCAACAAGATTTCCTCATGTAGTTGAGGAAATCTTAGCTGCTATCATGCCCCCGCAAGATGGTGCTCTTGTCAAGGATACCGATCTTCGATCGATGTGATGAAAATAGTTTGCGGGCGAGAGGCTTCGTGAGTGAGTTTGCTAGTTGATCAGCCGTATGTACTTGAGAAACACGTAGTTTATGTCTAACAACTTGTTCTCGCACGAAGTGAAAGTCGATGACAATGTGTTTTATGTGTGAGTGGAATACTGGATTGTCGCATAGGTAAGTGGCTCCGACATTATCACAATATATTGTAGGAGTAGAGGTGGAGTCGACGTCAAGTTCCTTGAGTAGATTCGTGACCCAATTGAGTTCTGTAGCAGCGGTTACAATGACACGATATTTAGCTTCAATTGTAGACTGTGCAACTGTTTTTTGCTTCTTAAAACTCTAACTGATTGGATTAGCTCTAAGGAAGACAATAAACCACGACGTGGATGTTTTGTCATTAAAGTTCTCTACCCAATCAACATCAACAAAGGCATGAAGATGGGGAGAGTGTTTGCAGAAAACGAGGCCATGATTGAGGGTTCTATGAAGATATCGCAAGATTCGTTTAACTGCAGACCAATGCATAGTAGATGGCTGATGCATAAATTGTGATAATTTATTGACCGCAAATGAGATATCCGGACGGGTGAGAGATAAGTACTGTAAGGAGCCAAGTACTTGGCGGCATTGAGTTGGGTCCGTAGCAGGGCTTCCATTACATAGTTTGAGTGATTCTCCAATAGATAGAGGAGTTGGAACTACTTTTGCGTCCTGCATGTTCGTCTTTGATAACATATATTGAATATACTTTCATTGTGATAGGAAGAGTATGTATGTTGCTTCCACTCCTAAAAAGTAATTCAAGGTTCCTAGATTTTTAAGGGAGAATCAATCTGCCAAGTGTCTAAGGAATGCCTTGATCTCTATAGGATTATTGCCTGTGACAATAATATCATCCACATATATCTAAAGATATATTGTATTACCACCTTGGTGATGGAGAAATAGCAAAGTATCAGACTTGGAGTTGATGAAGCCAGTTGATGTTAAAAATGAGCCAAGTTCGGTGTATCAGGCTCTTGGAGCTTGATGAAGTCCGTAAATAGCTTTTCGTAGTTTACAAACATACCTTGGATACTGAGGGTGGATGAAGCCAGGAGGTTGCTGCATAAAGACATCTTCAGTTAGGGTCCCCTGTAAAAAAACATTGTTAACATCGAGTTATCATAAATGTCAACCTTTTGAGATGACCAGAATAAGTCGAATTGTTGTGGGTTTAACAATGAGACTAAATGTCTCTGTGAAGTCAACACCAGGACGTTGATGAAACCCTTTGAACACTAAATGCGCTTTATATCTAACAACTGATCCATCTGGGTTTCGCTTAATTCAAAAGACCCATTTACACCCGATAATATTTTGTGTGGGATGAGAGTACAAGGGTCCATGTAGAATTATGGAGGAGGGCATTATATTCTTTACACATGGCTTTACGTCAGTATGTAGATTTTTGGGCTTGAGTAATTGTGGTAGGTTCATTGGTCTTTGATGAGGATTTTGTGATAGCATGTAGGTCAAGGACTTAAAGTGGTTTAAAAATACCACTTTTGGAGCGTGTTGTCATTGGATGTCCAGGGGCTATAGGTTGTGTTATAGGTATGGGTGGTGGAGAGGCACTGACACAGGTTGGGGCAAGCTGAGGTATTTCAGTGTCACTGGTCCTAGAAGAGGATAAAAGTAGTGGTTGTGTTTACAAGTGCATTACTTCAACAGTAGGGGAACCTGTTGAAGAAGGGAGAGGAGTAATGGAAGGAGTGAGGAGCCGTTAAACCGGGAGAAGAGGGTGTGGATCCCGAGGAGGACTGGATGGTGTTATGGGAGACTCGTTTGATGGGATCGACGATGTTGGGAAATCTTGGGGGCGACATCACATGCGTAACGGAAGAACATTAAAAACAAAATCCTCAATTTTCCAAAAGATATGTTCGTCGTCGTGCGAAGATTGGTGCGTAAAAACCGTGAAACTTAAAACTGCATATATGAAATATTATGTTACCTAGGGAGATCGTATATCCCTGAATCCCTGCAGATCTCTAGGAGAGGGTGAAGGAGGTCAAGCGTCCTCCTCTCTAGCTGATTAAGCAGGGATGCGACGATACTCATCAAAACTTTAGGCCTGCTATCTGAGGTGGAGAGAGGGAGGAGAATGGGAGAGGCAACCAAAAAGCTCTAGCCTATGAACCATTAGTTCCCTCCTATTTATAGAGGGAACCATTACTTCCCCTGTCAACTTAACCCTAATGGATCCTGCCATATTAGGTATTGGATCTCCATCCAACTACCCGAGCCTATTAGATTAGTGGATCTCTATCCAATAATCTCTCATTGGCTCTTACTAGATCTTATCCATAGGATCCAATAATTCAAGGGCTTATTGGATATCCAATAAGATAGGGGCTCTAGCGAATATCTCATATTCGAACCTCTCCTTATCGCAACACCTACTATATGTATGTGACCCTATAGGCCCAATATCAAGCTGGCCGTGAGTCATACCTGTCAGAACTCCTTCTAGCTTAGTGAATTATTATCTCCATAATAATTCACTCGACTCATCGACTACGGACGTACTAGGCCACTACACCGTAGTCCCGAGACGATACAGGGGAACAATCCATTGGACCTGTTTGTCCTCAGTTATCGTGTACCTATAGTCTCTCATCCATCTAATATCCTAGAGACCGTATAGTGTTGTTCGACCCATACGGTTTCTACTCGAGTCTCGCTCTAATCGGATTCCCCCGCAGAACTCTCTCTCTCAATCCGAATGACCCTGGCCAGGGATTTGTCTGAGCAAGAACACATGAGATATTTCTCTCATGACACCGAGAGTGGATGATCCTCTATCGACACTCAATAGTCATCGTAAGGTTATATACCACTTCTGATGACCGGTTGTGCTAGATTTGGAACCTCTAGACCTTGAAGTCTGGTATCAAAGAATGAAGTATTCATATAGGACATCCTTGGTGTCTCAAGTTTAAGGACCAGATACACTATCGGAACTACGGAATCGCTGTCTGACAATAAGACATCATCAACCATCCAACATCTCGTAAGCGGATCAATCAGTGAACTCATTCTCCAATGAGCACCTATACTGTATCCCTAGTGTCCCCACACGAGCAGCTATGAGACCAGCAACATCCATCATATGGATGAGTATACACCACACCAGTCTGTCCGGTTATCTCGATGTCCCTCCTAAGTAACTTATGACTGGGATTATTTAGGATCTATGTTTAAAGGCGAATCAGTCTCATTATCGTGATCTCATCACGATCTGATTCTCATTGCACAGATCCATGGATATCACAATATATTCAAGCAATAAATAATATAAAGTGATAAAATACCAAATAATAATAATAAGCAAAAAGACTACGTGTCAAGTCACACGTGCCATCACTCACGTGATTGACTTGCAGGGCACCTATGACTAGCAGACGGTGTACTCCAGTGATGTATATTCGTTGGAGTAGGTCATACAGCAGGAGATTCATGGTTTTGAAACGAAAATACAGACTCCACAAAAATAACATTACGTGATATAAAGACTTTTTGAGTTTGAGGTTCATAGCATCGAAAGACATTATATTCAAGAGAGTACCCAATGAAAATGCAAGGCTTATATCTTGATGTTATCTTATGCGAGGCATAGGGACGTAGCCATGGATAACATAAACAACCAAATACTTTGAATTTTTGAAGGTTTAATGATTCGTGAAATAGTTTTTCAAATAGTGACTAGTACTGAAGGATTAGAGTGAGCATACGATTGATGAGGTAGATAACAGTTTGAAAGGCTACAAACCAAAAGATTATTGTATACCACAAGCTAAGAGACAT